AACAAAGTTTCTACAACTCCATGAATGCATAGCTCTATCAATATGATCACCAGGTTATCTGACTGCAATAGCTATAATATAATCATTGTCATAGTTGATTGCTTTTTTAAAGCCATCATTTCAATCACTTGTACCACTGAATTATCATCAGAAAGATGGGCTAAGATCTTTAGAGATGAAGTCTATTCCAAGTATAGCATACCACAAGTTGTCATCTCTGATCAGAGGCCATAGTTCATCTCTAAGTTTCTAGACAACCTATACCAACTCCTTGGAATCTGAAGCAATGCCTCTACCATCTATCATCCTCAAACTGATGGTCAGCACATCAATTAAGAACTGGAAAAGTATCTATGCATGTTTATTAACCACAGACAGGATAACTAGACAGAGTAGCTCACCTTTGCTGTCTTTCAGCACAATAATTGCATTCACTCCATCACTGGGAAATCCCCTTTCTTTGTCAATTATGGATGACACCTCAAAGTCACTACTACTACACAATCTCACACATTCACATCTGCATTCTTAGACTTTGCTATGGAAATGGCAAAGATCCACCTTGAAACACAGACCACACTCAAAAAGGCCACCCATATAATGAAGGCTCAATATAACAAACACCACTATACCACATATATATATACTATTAATGACAAAGTTTGGCTTAACATAATAAACCTTCATCTACTTTGCTTTAAATGAAAACTCACTGATAAATAAACTGGACTATTTTCTATACTAGCCACAATTGGTGCTTCCACATATAAACTCCATCTCCTCATCTTATGGTGCATCTATGATATATTCAGCAAATTTCTTCTAATGCTATATATCATCTCCACTTTTCCAAACTAGGAATGACCACCTGCTCCATCCCCTGACCTCATCAATGATGAGGAGCACTACAAAATAAATCAGGTCTTTAACCATAAAACATATAAAATCAAGATACAAGAGGGAAGCATGACAACAACTACAGACTATCTTGTTAGTTGGAAAGGATACAGTCTGGAGTCAAACTAATGGGTCAATGAGAAATGAATATAGACACAGCTATACATGATTACAAATTATCCCAAAATTAAACCATCAGAATGATAGTCTTAAGGAGAGTGTAATATTATGATTTTTCTCCATTTCTATTCCTTTTTCTTTTCTCTTACCCTTATTCATGCTTAGTCAGAGCACCTAAGCCAGTGCTTAGGACTATGAGATGATCTTAGTCAGCATAACAACTATTATCTCACATCATGAAATGACACTCTGACAATAGAACAACTACTCTTTTGTAGGTAACTATCACACTCCAGGACAACAAGTACTATAACACAGACATTCACAATTAGTAGTGCGATATTTATCTAATGAGACAACTGATATATAAGTAGCATAGTTGGTGCCATATATCTCTAGTCTTAAACTATTCTTAATTCTACCATTCTATATCAAGTAAACTAGCATTGACCTTGAGACACAACTACTAGACTCCACATATAATGAACTCAGATGTGATTATATGAGCATAACACAGTATCTGTTTATCACATGATTATAGTCATGTGTCATCTGGATCTAACACTCATCTCCATCTTCCATCCTTTTGTCAGATATATTCACCTTCTTCAACCTTTTCTCCTCCTCTATAGCCTCCACTACTGTCTTGGCTCTTATCTCTGCTCTGCTTTCCTCCACTCTTGCCTGCTCTATAGCCTCTGCTTTAACCCTTGCCTTGGCTTCTTCTCTTTTCTTTATGTCTCTATAGCCTGCTGATAGTCTTTCTCAGCTGCATTATGCTCTAAATAGAACTCCTCAAGAGCAGCAGCATCAAGGTCATCAGAGGTTAGAGGGTGTTCATAGAGTTCAGGCATAATAGAAATGTGATACAATGATATAACTAGCAAAGCAGAGATAGTAGAAGTAAGAGGTCAAGATGCAGAAACCCCATATAATTCCACACCAGTATTCCATATAGTCATGCTCAGCTATCAGGATCTGCACTCTTGAAGGCAAGAATACTAAGATGAGGATACTGTAATGTGCATGCTGCAGACCTCCATTTCACAAAGCAACTTAAGGGTTTCCACATGATGAAGAAATACTGAGTGTTTCTCTTTTCTCCAAGTTTGTTATACTTCAGGAACACTGCAGCATACTAACTTCAATTTCATTTTCTTATTTTAAACTATATTTCATTTATCATCTTATTTCCAACCTAGACTCTGTAACAGTAGCAAAGAGACTACTCATTGGGCTCCATCAGACTCTAACTCAGACTAGCTACTAAGTATATAAGCTGTAGAATATCTTGTACCATCTCAGTTTGAATATCAACTTGGTTCAGCCCAATAACTCTTTGACCCTCCAGTTAATATCTCATCCATGGATCTCCAACTCCATTGGACCCCTCTTCTCCTCATCTTACTCCATAGACTTCTGTCTGCAGCTCTTCTTAGAGCTTCAGCTCAGAGGTGACATTGCTAATAGCTTCATCTAGACCCATGCACTCTGCACATCCTGCTACATCCATCCTCCTCTCTCCTATTGGCATGATTCTAACAGTGAGATTGATTAGGACAATATTTAATCTGTTCTTGATTTTTTCATCAGCCTTTTGTTATTAACTTATTAGAAAGTCTATTTTTCACAGGTTATTCACATTATTTCACAAAATGTTTATTAACTGTTAAATATCCTCTCATGACTCAATGTTAAATAATATGTTATTAACAGGATTGGAGATTATTAACTCTACCTTAGCATTGAAGATCAATTTAGGGATCCCAGGATGTGTTTCTAGCAAACTATATTCAATGAACAGGTGACTTGTGAAGGCTTTTGGGCACAATCTACATCTCAAGAGAGGAACTGCAGAGTGGCATGGCATTCATTCCAAACATTTCCAAGCTGTTCTGTCTTTGTTTAACTTCCAATCCCACTCCTTCTGCATCCTGGTGCTCAATGGACAGTGGTAGAAACAAAGGGTGGTGTCAAAAATGATGATGACCTTGGCAACCTTGTACTTCTTGGAGGTTTGTTTGATTTGGACAATGTCTGTATTTGTCGGTCTATGAAGATTGCTCCTTGCCAATATAACATAAATTCTTTTGTCGTTCGTCTTTGAATGCTAGTCTGGCGATTATCAACGGTCTGAACATCTTCAATTCCACTGATCACTGATCGCCGAGTGGTTCAGGTGGCTATAATCTTGATCAATTATCTCGCAAACTTACTTGTCCGGTCTTCCTTGAACTACCACTATGTTCCAGAGGCTGCTTGTCTCTTCTCTCAAGGTCACCTTGCTCTCAGTATTCCCAAGGAAATCAAGTGTCCGTGAAGTGCATGTATCGGTGAATACACCTCTGATTTGAATCTTGGGAACGTTTGCTCTCATGCGCTGCCTCCAACTGAGGGCGTGAGTAAAAGCGTGGACTTGGCTTCAATCACGGGGTACCTAGTTAGCGCTCATCGTCTTTCATTGCTTGTTCCCATTCTATGCTGATTTGACTGTTGCTGTTTTTCTTTCGATCGCTTCGTGACTGTATCGTCTATTCCGACAGGATTTTCTTTCTCTATCATCTCGGCGGTGGGAAGTGCAGAACTTACCGGGTTACCGATACCCTCCTATACGCCCCGGCTCAGAATCAATTGAGGCTGTAGTGCCCCAGCGCTTGCTCCCCATCAGCATCTGGACATGTGACTCATTATCTGTTCACACAGAACGAGTACTCGACAACCGTTGTTTCCTTATCTATCAATCAGCTTCAGTATAAAAGGACTTCCACCTCATCCTTTTTTTTACCAGAAATAATCTTCGCTACCATGCCAAGTTGGCGCGACCTACCGAATTACTACCCTCAACCTTGCGTCCCCGCGTATCAGGTTATTTGATTTTATGCCTCTCGGATCCTCTCACACTTCACCTCATCTTCCATTCTAGGGCTTGGTTCGTGTCATTGACATGAATCATCAGATGTACGGCTGCGCCGTAACAATCGACAGCAAGTCGACGAGATTGACTGTAGGTCGTCTGCCATTCGGTATTCTTGTAAACGTTATCTTAACCCCTGCTCAGGACGGAAATTGGGTTTACTCTGTTTGGTGGCCGGACAATACTCTCAACAAGAGGGGATGGATATTCAACAAAAGTCATACGACTTTTGTGCATGCCCAGCTGGAAACTGTCCAACATAGTAAGTCGGCCAATTCATGTGGCGCATAGTCCCTCTTTTCATTCTGTCATTAGAGAAAAGACGCTCACGCCAGTGGTAGAGGTTACACCCAGTATCATACGCTCGTTACAATATGGGCCACTTAGTATACTATATGATGTATTTTTGATGTACACCAGCGTTTATGAAAGCCCTGCTCTGTTATGAATTTCCGCGAGGAAACGGAGAGCTGTGGATATGTTTGGACTGTATTGCCATTCTCAAGTAGAGGTTCAATCTGGCATTAAGGCAGTCACTCTTTGATTCAATGACATTCGGCATTTCCTATCAATTTTCGCTCGCTTGCTCTCCTTGCCGAACCGATTCGGAGATCAGAGATCAGCTCAGACGTGCTCCGACTGAGATAAGAACATGAAAAATGGGCTGCAGGGTTGGGAGAGAAAGTCCTGTTGGAAGTTTAGAGGCCTTTGAAGGATAATGTCAATGAGCGACTTCTTGTTTTGGTCTAGTCCTGACCGACTGTGACTAAAAGGGATGTTTTAATAGTGAAGCCTGATCCAGAACGACAAGGGTGTTTCCTACATGTACGTATACAGTAAGCCCTGGCCCTTCAGCCATTATACGCAACTGAGAAGACGATATTCTATAGTTATCCCATGACCGTCATGAAATCGCGATCCCGACTCGGGGCCGTCCAAGATTTGCGGTCTGTGATGCCGTTACAAATGCGATGTGAAATGCTATCCGAGTCCGAGTCGGTAAGCGAGATTTACATCTCCTTTGGGAGGATCTACGCCGCTTAGACAAGGACGGACCGCAAGCGATATTGTGCAAGCAATAGCAATGAATAAATATTGTTAAGTTAATAATACAATCCTATGAAGTAGTTTAGAGAGGCACTCCTTCAATGACCCGGTGAACTACAGCATCAACAACCAATCCACCAAGAATGAGATTTCCAATAGTCGGCGTTTGCAAGAAAAACTTCATGCACTGGCTGGGCTTGTCAATGTCCGTCACGAGGAGTTCCTTCAGCAAGATGAAGGTCGAGGCAGCGACGGCGATGTAGTAGGCGATACCCTGGCCATTCAGATAACCAGCCCATGACATCAAAATGGCAAAGCCGACGGTGGTGACAGAGCAGATAGGTATGGTGTATTTGCCGCACAAGATGGCGAATGACTTCATGCCAATCTTGACATCGTCCATCTTGTCCTGGTGTTGATACACCGTCTCATATGTGACGGTCCACAATGTCGCACCGAGGTACGCAGCTGTGAGGGCATAATAGGGAATTTGGCCATCGGGTGTAAGATCGGCCCAGCCCATGTAGACACCAATGTTGAACATCAAGCCCTGAGAGAAGGTTAGATTGCGGAATTCGCGTGGATTACGAAGATGCTCACCAAAGGAATGGGGGCAAAGGACATCCAGCGCTTGCAAGTGGGATATAGCACATATAGCGGCCATACATACATGGAAATGCGTAGACTAAATGGGAAAAGGTAAACATTAGCTGGAATATAGGATTTGGAATGAGAACACTCACGCATCGGGGCTCAGAACCTTGAAAGCCAAAAAGACGCCAATCACAACTTGGAGAGCGAAGAACAACCAGGCACGCTCGATACTGATAGCACCTCTGGGAAGAGCACGGTTCTTCGTACGATCGACGTTCGCATCAATGTCATAGTCGAGGATATCATCGATAGTCATGATCTGAGATCAAAGAGATAAGATGTGGAAGACGGTTTCGGAAAATCTAAACTCACCAAGCATTTGATACCGATGCAGAGGAAAAAGTAGACGATGGCCCGGGTAAGGCATTCCATTCCCGTCAGCTCAGGGTAGACGTGGTAAATCATCGCTAAAGACCAAGCTAATATTCACAATTAGCGAACCAGGCTAGAGGCAGATAGATATTCATACTCACCCACTGGCAAAAACACCGTCGCACAACCCATGCCGTTTTGGAGACGGCAGAGCTCCCAACAAGCACGGATCTCAGTCCACGTCGGGGGCGCGAGGAGGGCATTGACGTTCGAGAAGATCGAGGCAAAGCCCGAAGTAATGGCCTCCTTCGGACCCTTCTTGAAAACCAAGGAGGAGGAGGACGGAGGAAAGATTGCAATGGTAGTGGGGAGAGTCATTGAAGCAAGAGGCGGTAGACTGACTGTAGGATGCGGAGAACCTGGTATCCTCCCATCTTCACGCCCGTCCCTAAATACGAGTCGAACGCAGGGGCTTCACGCCGTGTGAGTTGGAAATCAAACTTCAGCGAAGCCAGGCGCAGGAATGATGTTGCTCCGGCTGCTCGTCAATGAAATTTGATCGACGACATTCTAAATCTAAGATTGATAGTCGACGCCTGTGATCGCTGGAATATCATTGGTAGATCTCGTCAAGATTTCCTTCATGCGGTTACGCCCGCATAAGTGAGTGACCCTGTCCGACTCGCACACAAGCGGTGATGCCTAAATGGGGAACCGCGCGGTCATAGGAAAATCCCTCGCCGCACGGTGTATCAGGCATCTTGAGGACAAAGACCGGATTGTCAGGCACCTGCGGTTTTCTATCGTGACTTGTGACTTTCGGCACATAGAAAAATCTAGGCGTAGAATATTTACGTGAACCGGTCAGAGGTCGGTTTCCTATGCGGACGAAAAGATTTAAGTTGCTATGTCCGGCTTGAACGCTGTTTCCGCAAGGATATGCCCATATACTTATCAATCATTCTTCCGTCACTTGCAGTGCATGATTACTAAACTAGAGGTATGCTTTCAAATCTTGCAAAGATTGAACGGAGGACAGAGGAGACCAAGGACGAATTTTGGTCCCCGTCACGGGCCACAGCACTATACCTAGCTTGAAAAGGCAATTTAGGGTAAATTTCAGTCCCTCAAACCTGAGGAGAACAAAATTTCGTCAACGCGGTTACACAGCCCGACAAAATTGTACATTATTCAAGTTCTTGCTATGATCTGCATACAAAATTGACCACCTATGGATGGCGGCCATGAGAGGAACATAAGAAACGGATCAAGTTCAGCTGAAGATTTGGAGAGAACTTTATTTGTTTCTGTTACTTTTTCATGGACGTCGTCCACCATTCAGCGTTGTTCCTTGTTGAGCAATCCTTCTTGACGACACCGACAAGTACGAACCTACCACTAAGACGTCGCGGCGGCCTCTTATATAGATCTCTCTATGGTATGAGGTGACCTGTGGGTGTAATGGAGAATGTGTCGTATATTGGTCAATTTTTACTGTCAGAAATAAATCTCGGACTTGTTCTGGCTCTGTGCTTTCTGCACAATCGAAAGATCGCTGGTCTTGCACTGCCACCCGACTCGGTGCCGTCGACCAAGTGCGGTCTGCGATCAGGACGTTATCCAGGTCGGTAACTTGCGTCTACCAGCAATATGCCAATCGGGCTGGGCGTTCGAATAGATCTCTGGATGTATGTTCATTTTATCTCTGTAACCATGGTCGATCCAATTCACCTCGTTGCGATCCTCTTAAATCTCGTTTTCAAACGTAAATGGGGTATATCTATGCGGCAATCTACGTATAATGAGATGATTCACCTCGGTCCTCTAGAAAGGGATGTCCGAGTCGCGGAACAGCGTCGATAACCAATCACCCGAAAACAATTCCAGGTCGACGCATGTGATGAAATTGGAATTGTACAAGCTCACACCAATAAAGACCAACTATGCTCAGCTAGGGAATTATATCATGTACGAAACATTATGCGTTGGCAATAATTCCATGAGACATTGTTTCTACTTAGACACCAACTTCTCCGGATCCCATTTTATCTCCAAGCGCATCCAAGAGCCTCTTCAGTTCCTCCGCTTCCTTCGTCAACAGTGATACTTCACTCTCCTTCTCCCTCTCTTTCCAGCTAAGATCCTTTACGGCTTTACCCACAACATCTGCCCACGTAACCCCATCCTTTGCCAGCGTCTCGACAATCTGGTCCTTAATACGTCTACACGCACCAGCACCATCATACCCAAAGCCCGTATATACCTGCACCAGGGATGCCCCAGCCTTGGCATAATCCAGTGCGTCTTCACCGGATGATATACCTCCACAACCAATGAGCGGGATACTCTCCGGAAGATGCTGGCGCAGCGTCTTGAGTGCAGATAGAGAGAGCTCTTTCAAAGGAGCCCCGGATAGTCCCCCGGCTTCGGCTTTGCTTGCTGTAACAGATGCATGAGATATGAATAGAAAAGGAAACATATTACTGACGGTGGTGGAGAGAAGAAGGTCGTGAGATGGTGGTGTTGCTCACGATGACACCGTCGATGCGGCTATTCCGTATCACATCTGCCATGTCAACTAGCTGGGACTCGTCAAGGTCGGGGGCTATTTTCAAGACTAGCTTGGGTTTGGGAGCGGACGTTACGGCCGATGGAGGGAGGTTGTCTCGGGCTTTTGTAACGCCATCGAGCAAGGTTTGAAGGGTATCGCGACTTTGAAGACCACTAGATACATGGTCAATGAACGTGCCGTCGTCAGTCTGAAGCAAGCCTACCGTAGCCCGGGTGTATTCGGACTTGACACATTGACGACCAGCACATCGGAATAGGGCCCAAACATACGAACGCCATCAACAAAGTCCTGTATTGACTCTGCTGGTGAGGTCTTGTTTTTGCCAAGATTGACGGCAAGGACAGATCCACTGCGGAACGACGCGGTGTCGTTGTCCTCCTGCAGGAACGTCGGTATACGCGCTCGTATTCGGTTCAAGACAGACATGTGGCCCTGCGAAGGAAATCCGTAACGGTTGATGACTGCCGCATCTTCAGGGAGATGGAAGAAACGCGGTCGGGGGTTCCCTGACTGGCTCAGTATTAGAAGACGTCGAGATATAATGAACGGCCGACACACCTGTGGACTTGGAGTTACACTACCAACCTCCACCCAGCTGAATCCAAGATCGAATAGGCCTTGTAAATCATTAGGAATGAAAACGCCGGAACAAGTGGTAGCGTACCATCTATTGCCTCTCCATCCTTGTCAAATCCAGCCGCAAGACCAACAGGATTGGATATTGATTTCCCCCAGAGCTGCAAACTGGTTATATCATTGTAGAAAGATTTCGAACAGCTCAGCTCACCTCGAATTTCAGTCTCTCGTCATCCGCAACGACATCTTTGGGCCCCAGCCCACTCCTCAACACTTGAACGGCAAACTTGTGACCTGTCTCCGGGTCTAGTGTGTATCTCAGTAGAGGCGTCAAGACATAACGGTGTATGGCAGAGCGAGAGTCGAAGTAGTATACCGCGAAGAGACCCGCTGAAACGGCGAAGACAGTTGCATACAGGCCTGTACGGACGGGTGATTGCGGGATAAAGGAAGATTTGGTGAACAGGGTTCGACTGGGAGCAGAAAGGCGAGTACGTGCGGGCGACAACAGCAGTCGCGACACTGCTTGTCGCAATGCAGCCATGGCACCGTCGACGTCGTGGACAGAGAGATGGACATGCTAGGTCGGGCCGGGGCCGGTACCGGTACCGGCCGACAACATTTCCCACAGTTCTGTTTCCTACTCTCAACAATGAGGAATCTTTCGTGTCGCGGAGAAACTTTCTTTCCTGTGATTTTTGGCCTTTTTATCACCTACAAAATGAATGGAGCCAGGTTGGATGATACCATCCTTGAGCTTGAGGACGGAACGAAAGAGGCCTACGTTATACCCAATAGGTCACATGCATACATAAAAGATGCCATGGACAAAGCCAAGCAGGCTCATTACACAACAGTATTCCTACTCCTTGCTCTCACCTCCTTGTGCACGTGTATGAACGCGTCAAATCATTCCATCCCTGCGGAATGAGACTCGCTATCTCATCGTTAACAGAGAAAGCAGTTCCCATACATCCCACCTCACTGTCGTCGGTTCAGATGAGTAAAAAATTGAATGTACTTAACACAATACTCACGAATAAAGTGTGCAGGTCATCCCGATATCCGGGCGCACCGACGAAATGTTATCGATCCATGCATCGCCCGCCGCGAAGGTGATGCACAACGCGCTCTCTGTAGTGGAATATGTGCACATTCCCTCAAAGTTTTCGTCTTTGCAGTAATAGAATCCCGGATTTCCTGAATTCTGTTCGACATGAGATGAATGTGTCAATAGACGCTCGACCAGGCCAGACTTACAGGAGCGCGGGAGACGATATCGACTGCAATGGTGGACCCAGAGCCCGTGGGTGCTCCAGCCACGACAGCTACGGCAGAGAAGATCAATGCTAGGAGTTTCATGGGAAGCCGATTTCAACCTGGGTCAATCTTCGACGCTACCTACGCTTTATATGCAGGTGTTCTACACAAGAGAGGGCCTTTCTTCGCGAGATCATAATTCGGGTTGTCTGACAAAAGTAACACCGTATGATGGGATTCTGGACAGCAATTGGATTTTCTTCTCCTCTCACCCGTGGGCACTTGTCCCCTCTTCGAGAAAATTTCCGATTGACGTATTGCTTGAAAGCTGATGTTATAATGATCTCATCAAAAATTTCCTTAGCGACTTCCAAAGACGCCTAAGATACTGAGCGCCAATTTTCGTCATGGGAGACCTCGAGAGTTGACATCAGGTGGTGGCGTCTGACGAACCCAAATAGGAAAGGCCAACTCAATAAGAACTTTTCACTCCGTTCAGGTCGTAGACTGACCAATACTGAAGTGGTGATCTTGATTCATCGGCGAGAACTGTAGGTGATATCTTTGCGTAACGACAAATGTGCGTACTAACAGATCGAATCACTCAGGAAATAACGATTTGAGGTTATTAACTATGCAGCCTAAACATATTCAAAGGAACTGACTTTATTGGACCGGTCGATGATTTCGGATTGATAATTGACAGTGCAGGCATCGTTGCTTCAAGGACGTCCGCTTGACCCATTTGATGTCTTCTGGAAAGCTATATGGAATTCAGACATCCCAAGTCCCTTTACCGAGTGCCCGACCTCTTCGCTGTAAGAATTCTGATTGACGCGTCATCTGCAGGTAGCACTTTACCGATTCATCAAACGTGATACTGAGGCGCCTAATACTAGTCAGTGTCTGTTTATGATTTGATCTTACCGAAGCATCCGTGATCAGGTTATGGTACTCCTCGAACTCAAATCTAATTTTCACTGAGCGGCTCCTTGACTTGGCGATTGGGTCAGAGAGAAGCATTTCAGACGATAATGTTTATTTAACAATTTTACTAATATCATCACCAGATCGCTTCACATAGACCTGGTCTTCGATGACAGCAGCAAGAAATACGTATTAGTCACAACAGGTTCCCAGACACGACCTACAAAATTATTGAAATATGTTCACGCCATGGGTCGCCATCTAATACAGATATTCTCAAGATATTCTAACTAAACCACATTAGTGGTGAAAGTCCATTATATACCGAAGGATATCAAGTTTGCACGCAAGTATAGGAACTTGCTTTGTCCGCCCAACTGATAGTACCCATCTGAGATTTGACCGCAAGAGTCGCTCCGGTACAGTTCACCCCACTTTCAAGAACCGTGAGTTCAATTCATAAAATATCATCGGGAAATTTACCTGTACAACGTACATGCTACGCCAGTGTCCGGACGCATACAGGCTATGTCCTGGTTCCAAAACCCTCCCGCCGAAAAAGTAATGCAAGTCCCAGACTCAGCCTCAGTGTAAGCACATGGGCCATAGAAATTTGCTTGAGTGCAATAATACGTTCCAACGATCTGTGTTCAACACGTCTACAGTGGAATCCAGGGGACTAATTCCTGCCACTTACCGTTGCACGTGCACTGGCCGCAAGGGCAACAACTGAGGCGAGGGTGGTAAGCTTCAAGTGCATTCCGGAAAGCGATAGACGAGTGCGTAATCCAAGCCCACTTCTTATAAGAAACTTCAATTCCGGTATGACCCCTACTTCTTTGAAGCCGCATCTGGACCGTTTCCTTACCACCTGTCATGCAGAACCTGAATGTAGCTCCGAGTCGACAGCGCGACGCTCCAAACACTACTGCCCTAAACTCCAGCATAGAAGCTTCGATGAGGAATACTTAAGCGCCTTCGTTATACTGATCTTCCTGTCAAGAACAGACAGCGATCACGTCGGGGATGGAAAGGGCGACGCGTATTCAGGCGCCTTGCGACATATTGAATGTTGTATGTTGAACGTTGATGGTTTTGGGCAAAGAGAGCTGAAGTATTCACAGTACGCTTAGTTGCACGTTTCCGATTCTGGCACCACAGGCAGGCAGGCAGGTAGCATTACACGGCAGTGTCCACACAGAAGGGCATATTCCGGCCGAAACTAGAGATCTCTCAATTGAACTCAACTCAGAATTACTCTGAGTCCTGAACCTCCCAGTGAGTATGATGTAGATCCAAACGCATGTATTTCGATAAAGACAAAAGCAGGTAGTAATCACAGTAGTGTATTGCATTACGGAACACTCCATGGACAACTTAAATCTGAAGTATGCAACTTCAGCCGGCTGAGGAGACAAGTTACGCTAGCCAGTAAATATGCCCGGACCTCACAACAAGGCCTACTTAACCGAAGTTCCTATCGCAAATGTACGCCGCCACCGTGTTATTCCAACCAACTGTAGACAAGTCGCTGTATCCCTCATCGATGTCCAAAGAGTCACCAGTGCATTTAACTCCTCTGCAAAATGATAAGCACCCCTTCGACCAGCACAGAGAACACTCACGAAAAAACGGTGCAAAAATTCTCGGGGTCGTTCCGCACAGACAAGATGGTCTGGTAGAAGGTACCACCAGGAGCGAAGGTGACGCAAGTGCCTGCACCTATAGTAGCATGGGTGCAGATACCGGTGAAGTCCGTTTCGGTGCAGTAGAGCATCCCGACACTACTCGCTTGCTGATTGGCAACAGGACTGTAAGTTGCATTTATCATGCGAATAAAGTTTTCACTTACGGTCGCACGAGAGGAGATACTAGCTGCAGCAGCGCTGGAGACAGAGGCGAGAGCGAGGGCAAGCAACTTCATCGTGAATCGGAAGATGATAAGACACGGACGGCGACGGTCTTATAACAAGAAGGCAAGTCGTACTAGAGCATCAAGACAGACAGAATAGAAGACGATCAACATTTTGTATGCTTTGAAAGCTGCATATACAGTTTGAACTAGGACGTATCGAAGACACGCAAAAAATCCGTGCCTCTTTGTCATATTCCGTGAGCCCAGGCTGTCAGTCAATTAAGCGCTGAGCGAAGGCGCTTGAATTATGGATGTAAGAACGTGAAGGAATGGAACTTTGATATTCTGTAGAGCTGTCAGGTACTGTTGGGTCCCGAGTGTGTCGAAACACCTAGCTAGCCTAGTAGTAGGATCGAAGTTGGCCACGCCATGCGATTGGGCTGAGACCTCGGAGAAGATGAGAGCGTCAACAGAGAGCTTATTATATACTATCCAGAAGAGATACGCAGGTATGAGACAGCGTAGCAGAAAGCAAGTTTTTCTGAATGCAGCGGGGATCGAAAATGCGGTCCGAAATTGCGAATTTTGACCCAACTCTCTGACCTTTCCCCAAGCGTCTACGACGATAATGAGTATCAATCACCTCTCTAGTTCTTTACAGAATTTTCGGCCAGTTCCGTGGAGACAAAGCGAATGACCCTCTCTCGTCGCCTCAGGGCATTCATTCGGCTTCGCTGGTGCTCATGAAAACGTGACAGCCACAGCTCCCCCCAAATGTATCTGAGTTAGATACGCCGGGTGGTTGTTAACATTAAACATATCAAAGTTGGGATTATACGGTTGGCCACCCATAGTAGTGGTATGCGAATACAGGTATAGATAGATAGTCAGTACAAAGTATTACATAGATAACATAGCAATTAGCTCAATCATGATTTGGAGACATAGCTGGCGACGGATTAAATTCCTGCAAACGAAACCATAACGGGATCATCTTCCACATCTTCTGCCTCTCTCTCGCTGCCCAAGCTTCCAGAGACTTCGCGCATGGCTTACATTCCGAGAACTCTGCACTCTTCAGCTGGCCTAGCTCCTCCGCTACATATAGCGGGTCGCAGAAACCGCGCTCCCGGTCAAAGAGGTAATGCTGTGTGGCAAGGTCGAAGAGCTCGGAGAAATCCTTCCGGCACGCCGCGGCAGAAACACAAACAGAAGAGGGTTTGCGGATGTGGGTACGAATATATTGACTCGTGCCCATGGCTTGGATGAGAGTAGTAATGGTATTCTGAGCGATCTCTTTGCCGAGACAGAGGCGCTGGGTGTCAGCGAGGGAGAGGGTTGAGGGATGGGAGGAACTAGGTGAGGTTTCGAAAATCTGGCAAAATGGATATCGGCAGAGGTCGTAAAAAGCGGGAGAGAGAAGAGAGGGAGCATCTACTTCCCGTGCGAGGTTTATTACAGCCTTAACTGTTGTTAGGACGACGATGAAGAGAAACCGGGATTACACACTATAGGTGAAGGGTAAAGATGAGAGCCACTCGAAGTCTGCATCTCGTATAACCGTGCCAGGTCTTCACGGCAATCCCAGCCTTTCAAAGTCGAAGGCCAGGCGATACTCAGATGCGCTAGCGCTTTCTCCCGCAGGGAATCGATGATATACTTTGTCGAAAGTCGTAGAATGCCGGATACTATTTGAAAGTCGTCCTGTCCGTTATCGCCAAAGTTCCTGCAAGGCGGTGAAGCAAATGACAAAGATGAGATACTTCATCAAACGTACGGGCCGTCGTACAGTGCGACGAGAAGGTTGGCCAGATCCTCAGCCTTGTCATGCAGAAAGATGACTGGGCACCCCTCTATCTCGTCGAGGCGCCCAGGCTGTGGATGTCGAGTCGACGAAGCAAGGGAGAACATATCACGGAAACATACTGAGTGGCGAGCGAGCTGCGACATGTGTACCCGGAACAACGTGTCCTCTGCACGACACACGACGCTGCCATCGTCGAACCACAAATCGGTGCGTCGGTGCAGCTCGGCGCCTGTGTCTGGGTCCACGATCTGCTGAGCGGCGGAACTTGTGCTAGTGAGACAAAGACACGGAACACTAGAAATGGACATACTTTGATGAAGACGAAGACGAGGTGCAGAGATCCGACATGTTCACTCGCTGCTCGCTGTCTCTCGTGGTGAGCACGATGAAGGTAATAGAACAAGGTGCATGACACATCCTTCTGGTCAGGATCATCACTGAAAGCATTTTTTATTTATTTAAATTTTATCTCAATTACTTGGATACGCTTGGCATCCGGAAAAAGGAAAAGCCGCTTCCGCCTCAGACAAGAGCGCCACTAATTGATATGCGTACCATGTCGTGGCAAAAGAGGAGCTGTTCTTTCTGCACTGGGACCCGGGATCGGTGCAATCGTCACCTCAATTATCCATGTTTTTGTGACGATAATAAAAGCTATCTCTGCGGCAAAACTTTTCATCATCGTTCAACTTGATGCCGAGACTGACAAAAATGTCTAGGTGATTTGTCCCATCTATGATGTTATCTAGGATATTTTTATCGCTACTGTGGCGAGAGACGAAGTGAGATGCGCTCCGGGAGGAAGGGGCGTCACTTCCACGTATTAGACGCCAAGCCTGTTAGTATGAGGAGTACTACACGACACTGAACGCCCGCGAACGAGCTGAAACATTCCATTTTTTATTTTAAGTCCATTTATCCTGTTCAGAAGCTCCGGCGACTAATAAAATCACCTTCCTTCCTTCCTGCCTGTCACTGTTTAATATTCTTGCAACGCCGGAATCTTAAGCGCCTTCTATTTTGCCTGCCTTGATGCTTCAGTATGGCCTGAAGTCCTTTATTTAAGAGGGGAATATCGACGTTCACTTAACGGTTGATATCTTTATCATCACGATGAAGTTTCTTTCCCTCGCTCTCGCCTCTGTCTCCAGCGCTGCTGCAGCTAGTATCTCCTCTCGTGCGACCGTAAGTGAAAACTTTATTCGCATGATAAATGCAACTTACAGTCCTGTTGCCAATCAGCAAACGAGTAATGTCGGGATGCTCTACTGCACCGAAACGGACTTCACCGGTATCTGCACCCATGCTACTATAGGTGCAGGCACTTGCGTCACCTTCGCTCCTGGTGATACCTTCTACCAGACCATCTTGTCTGTGCGGAACGACCCCGAGAATTTTTGCACCGTTTTTTCGTGAGTGTTCTCTGTGCTGGTCGAAGGGGTGCTTATCATTTTGCAGAGGAGTTAAATGCACTGGTGACTCTTTGGACATCGATGAAGGATATAGCGACTTGTCTATAGTTGGTTGGAGTAACACGGTGGCGGCGTACATTTGCGATAGAAACTTCGGTTAAATAGGCCATGTTGTGAGGTTCGGGCATGTTTACTGGCTAGAGTAACTTGTCTCCTCAGGTAGTTGACGTTGCATACTTCGTGGATCGATAACATTTCGTCGGTGCGCCGGGATACCGGAATGACCTGCACGCTTTACTCGTAAGTATTGCATCACATTAAAGTTTGTACTCACCTAAACTGATCGTAATGCAGTGGGATGCGAAGGAAATTCTCCCCCCGTTACCGAAGAGATACCGAATCTCATTCCGCAGGGATGGAATGATTTGACGCGTTCATACATGTGCACCAGGAGGTGAGAGAAAGGTGGAGAAAAATTGTTGCCAGATAAGTCTGCTTAGCCTTCTCCCTTAATAATTAATTCTGTTTGCGTATTAGATAGTCCACACTACAGAGTTTCATATATTTCGTTCTCAAGGGTATAGCGGCGCGGTCCGAGGGCCCCTACTGAAAAGTTCGAAAAGCTGCTGAAAAGGTTCCCAGTCAGAGAACACTCCTTGACAGAAGAAGAAGATCAAAATATAAGGTCGCTGAGAGAAGCGTGGAAAAGGCGCCCGGTCTGACATGCGTATTACTTGCCATGGCTGCATTAAAATAGCATCGCGCGCACTGTTTTTCACACAAAATTCAGGAAACCCAGGTTCCCACTACTTCATAGTGCAAAGATGTAACCTTAGAGGGGTGGAGACCCGCAAGGTCCATAACCCAGCGTGTAGCAAGCAAGGCTCGCTGCCCCACTCCGACGCTTTTTTCCCCAAAAAATGAGGCAAACTTCGGAAACGCTTACCCATATGCCACCATAGGAAACAGAGATGTACCATCTTTGCACGGTGCTATGCTTGGTACAAGAACATTTCGTCCATTCGCCCGGATCTCAGGGTAACCTCCAATGCGTGAGTAACGCGCTAGCAGTATCAAAGCTTGTGCTCACCTGAACTAATGGCAATGCGATGTACTGTTAAAGAGATCCGCTCGTCGTTCCTGAAGAGGTTCAAAGTATATCGAAATTGAAATATCCGTCACAAATCAAAAACCTGTCGGTAATGAGCAGAGTAAGTTGACATTGATAGTCATTCATCAAGGCTAAATGCAGAATGTATATCAAAACTTATACATCCACTTGTGGGGATCATGCACCTTTCAACCGTCACAATATCCTAGGGCGCATGTTTCATGTACGAACTCCTCTCCAAGGGGATCTCCACTGTCGGACTCAATGCGAGTCCAGTCATCGAATCCAGCGGAAATTCCTCCCAGTCTCAGCGACTGTTTGAAATGGCCTTGTTTGCCAAAGCAAGAACTCTGTAGGCAATGGAGTCCGTCCTGGTCAGGACGGTTTAGATAAGGAAGTTGTACTTTTGGTTGTGCCCATCAAACCCATCATGGCAATCCATCGCGCGCTGCTGGCCCATGTAAAAACAACGGGCCCTTACAGGGATTATAACAACAATTTATTGGCAGCTCCTCCATCACAGGGGATGTCTCCTTCAAGAGAGTATCCAGGCAGGGTAAATCACAACAACGCACAAAATAAACGGACAAGCACCGGGGCTGATTGACAGAGAAGGGGATAGCCGATTTTGAGAACAATTCAGACCGCGGAACTACGGAGCTGGTAAAGTTTGAGCCTCTACATGAAATCCGGACGCTCTTATCGTCTGATGTTCAACGATGAACAGGACTGTACAACCACATTCCTTATATCCCTAGAATTTTCCCTAACCACAAACATTCTGCTTCTACCCTGAGTGCGAAGTGTATTTTTCGAACTACATACAAAGTCTTCCTTGAGGCGATGTACCTCTCTGCTCGTATGATGTGCCTGGAGACCTGACTCCCCACGGTGTTCACTTGTCAGTTGCTTCTGAGAAGAACCCCGTGAGGATTCTTGAAACATCTTAATAATTTTCGCATCTGCGGTGAACATAAGTTCTCTGTTACCTGCTTCGAAATGAATTAGCACCGTGATTTTCATTACTGGGCTGACATGCATGGTGGCAGCTTGACTCAATCTAATTCCGAACGACTTCGTGAAACACTGCTATATTCTTCACGCTTCCCTCCCTCAGACCCTTTATGACTGTATCCACTGAAGTTCACTCTGTCACCTAGGAGATGATAACGTGTCGCATCCGCATTTTTCCGAGTCAGCAATCCCGCGAAGGATCCCTGACAGAATATGGACTGTATTGCATCCATCATATGTAATTTTTCTTGGCATTGAAAACGGTCAAGAACGAATAGCATTTTCATTCTGCAACTATCCATTCATTTGCATCTCTTACTAGTCACTGTAAACAACGCATTGTTTCGATTATCTTTGCTATTATATACTGTCGGATTTCCGCCTGCAGGACGTTCCAAAGTTGGATTCTCATAACAGGTGGGTTTTGTCTTGGAAGAATTACTGTTATATCACTATTTTAAATAGCATAGGATATGAGGCTTTAGTGGAATGTCCCCAAACCAAGGTGCTATTTAAGAGCCTTCAGAATTCGAACTACAGAGTAAGGTCGATATGACTTCCTTCCGTGGAAAGGAGGATGGAGTTCATCCCTGTCTGGGCAGACCATTGATCCATTGATTTTGACGTAGCAGGTCAACAATTATCATGCAGAAACTACGAGTTTATCTCCCTTTTCGAAATTCTAGTGACCGACAGTCAACGAAATTGAAGCGATTGCGAGAAGCCGGGCACACCAGAACCTACTATCCTCGGAAAGTCGTCGATGACTCCAGAGTCCAGAGACCCGAAAGACCTAGAAAATGACAGCGTTGTCCAAAGGGCCTGGCCGTTCAGATAGCTCTTAGGATGGTAGAATGCCACTTATCCTAGCGATCATAATGGATGAAACGTGTGTGAGAACGCCACGTTGATCGCAGCGCGATCGCGACGCATTCGATCATTACCACTGATATGATCGATAACACCCCTTTCCTTTCGACCACAGCCACCAAATACCAAGGACTCATCTTCACTGTTCTTTCAGAGATGCCTGACCTATATAATCCTTGTTTTTTTTTTTTCACGATAAGCCCTTCGTTAATCAAGTTCGAGGCGGCCTGAAAGCGGAGTTCCCCGAGGAATTCCGAGATAATCGCTGGACAATTGACGTAGTGGGTGTTCGAGAAGGCCGCTCAGCGGGACGATCAATGAGAACGATAAATATATCATGAGAAAGGGCGAGCATATGATTGGAGGCCCACTTTCTTGTCAATAAAGAGGGAGTCGCCTGTCAACTCTTCATCCTGGACTCTGGGAGAATCATCCACCGTACTCTGGTTCTATCTGGGGTCCCGTTTGCTCTAGACAGATCACAACTGTGGAACCGACACGGCAGGCATTGTTACATAGGCAGCGCCATCATTGCTACAATTCCCGAGCCGTCTTCCGCCATGTTCGGCTTTCGAATTTGTAATGGGAGTCGGGAGCATTGGCTTTGGCGATCTGTATTCTTTGTCTCGCGACAATGGCGGCAGTGACAAGATATGGATGGGCTATCGGGGTTCATGCGTAGCCTCTGCTCTTCGGCTCATCAGGATTGGTCCTCCTTGGTCTGTCTGATCGTGACTATTTGTTTTGTGGGTGAGCACTAGATTCGAGGCACTTTCTGAGGAACTCAAAGGAGGTCGAAGGTTCCTTGAAGTTACCCGATGTGGTTCGCTAGATCGTCAGATACCCTCGTTCCCCTGGCCCAGCCAGGGGGTTCGGATATTCTAGTCTCATTTGTCAATACAGACCACGGATCCTGGTAAGAGGCTCCAATACATTATCTGCCAATCGGTTTTCCAGCTTTCTCAAGCCTTCGCACAAGACGATGGCGCCTTGAATTTGCGATACGAGCGGGCATCGACGACAGGTTATGTTTAACCCTGTTCTGGTGGTAGGTCCGTGGTGCTCGTGGGCTTTGTGGTAGTAAGGATTTCGAGCGCAGCTGATCCGAAATGGAATGACGCTAACTGTCGTAGGTGTAGGAAAGAGCGATCAACGCTTCCATGGTGAGCCCAAATAACAACTTGCGACGAAGTGACCTTGACAATCTCCAGGAACGGAGATGAAAAAGAATGAGGCAATGAGTGCCCCGATTTTGGTGAGGACATGGGCGCAACCATGACATTGCTCGTAATATACGTGTAGATGAGTTCCAATGAGTCATTGATGGACTCAGCCACTGTTTTTTATACTGCCGGTCTACGAGAAGTTCAGAACCATTCATGGGGACGAATACGCGCACGTCTCAGTAGTAATGTCGACCTGAAAATTATGTAGGGACAGTTGCGAAGTAGTAGTCGCATGATTATCATAGTGTGAGTTTTTTATCCATTGATGATTTCTCGGCAGTGTATTGATATAGTAACAGAATTCGTAAGGGTCAAATGTACCAGCGCTCAACGTCAAATAGGTTATGCAGACAGTGGGCGTCCGAGCTACACGACGGAAATATCAAGCATAGAGGTATACACCGAGTACCTGACATGCCAGTTCAATTCATTGACTGATTGTTTCTAGAGCAATTTGACGGACAATATTGTCCATTTGTTTCTCCGTATGTTGCGACGTAAAGATTTTGGCTTACCAAGAAGCCTTACCCAAAATTCTTTAGCGTCTTCAAAATAAGGTTAACGATTAAATACGTACGTTTGCCGTCCATGCTAAAAATATCTGTGTATCTACAAGGTGTAGTAGTAGTGGATATAAAATTATTTCTACCATGGGAGAGACTAGGACGGCCGGTTGATGAATCAGGACGGCACGACTCCAATATCCTGTCTGTCGGTTCATCCAGACTTCGCCCGAGATAGTGATTACATTGCCAGTAGAAAAAATATGCACGAGGCTGATTATCCACTTTTAGCGCCTCGTTACGACCAAATCGGTGTGCCTTTTCCCGCACGAAGACGTGTTTTTTCTACCTGAAATCTCAGCGCTTTATCAGTTTTTCTTAGTTGAAATGGCTCAAGCTTTAAGAGCAGGTTACCTGCTAGCGATCGAGTGACAGAGCCAACTAGACTAAAACTACACCCTCGAGCCCAAGACAGTCTGTCCCCGGAGCCAGCGTCCATGTGAGCTTCTCTCGACAACGCTTCATTACCGTTGCGGGGAGGGGAACATCTAATCCATGTGTCCTGCCATGACTTTTCAAGAGCAGCGCTCGTATACGGGGTCGTCTTCCTTAAGGGCTCAAACCGCGTTCTTTGTCAGAACTGTCCAAGTATCTTGTGCTCCATTCCCACGCCTTGAGTGACCAAAAATAAAGCGTTGGCCATGTTGAGAATCCACCGCCTTTTACGGACATTTTGTTTACGTAAAGTGATCATCCCGACATGGAAAGCCATCTGAATCAAGGAAAAAATTAAAAAGGTACAAAAACAGGCTCCGATAACTAACGCACATCCACCACAGCGGTACGTCTGTTGTCGCTCTCCTTCCTACTCCCATTGTCGCGTCCAAGATGCAAGAATATCTTCTGGTTCTGTAGCAAACTCTTCTTGCTATTCTAACCAGCCTTTTCTCCACTTCTCAACCGGGAAATCGCAAGAGCCGAACTTGCATCGGCTGATTGGCAGGTGAGAAAGCAGTGGACATAGGGGGAAATAGACAACCCAAAATGAACGCGATCTTTGCGGTTGGCAGTTTACTCAATGGCGTCAAGAAGTCAGCCCCCGGACGACGACACACAGGCCACTATGATTGGTCCTACCACCACATTCTACGATCCCGACGAGCTCGTCCAGCAACCCCAGGACGCCCATGCCCAGCGATACCAGCAGTGGATGCAATCATACGATTACGGACAACAGCATCAGCATCAGCACCACCACCCACAACAGCAGCAGCCGGTACAACAACACCCGGTCCATCCAGCAAATTACTACTCGGCAGAGCCGTATCAGCAAAACGACTACAATAACTATTATCAAGGGACTAGCTACCAGCACCAGCACCCACCCCAGCAGCATCGGCCGGCGCCGTCATATCTTACTCCACCAGCAAAGCAATCACAGAAGCAGACGCAGAACAAGAGGAAGCGCGCGCCAGTGAGGGACAGCGAGTCGGATGGCAGCGACGACGACGTCGGTATCAGTGTAGGGGGGGTGAGCATTGCGAGGGCGTCCAGATTGTGAGTACGGCATCTTTCCAGGAATAGGTGGCTCATAGTGTAGGCCCGGGGCATGCACCCACTGCAAGAAACTCAAGATGAAGTGCGACTTCCCGCCCGGCGAAAATACGTGTAAACGGTGCAAGACCGGTGGTCATGTCTGCATCGTCGAGGGGCGGAAACCAAGGACGGCACCCAAGTAAGTCGCAGAATCACTTTTCCCCTAGATAAATCCTCATATATGCGCCCACCCCCAGCAAACGAGAATATCTTCTAGCCCAGATTCGGCAGAAAGACGCCATCATTGAGAGTCTCCTCAAGCAGCTGCACAATCCATACCTTGCGACACCTCTTTCTATTGCCTCATATCGTATGGCGACTTCACCCTCCGACGCCAGCAACCGCAACGTTCTCGCCTGGCTAGACCGGCTTCAGTCCAGCGTACAGACTGCTGCTGGCGGTACGAGCTCCTTCAATGATGTCCGCGGAGGTGACGAAGAATCGGACGACGAGGAAGGAGGGAGTCGAGTAACGCATGCCCAGCGATATGGTTTGGTTCCCCATGACGAGGAGGAGGAGGAGCAGGAAGAGACGCAGACGGCACTTCCCGACTCGCATGTTCCTCTCGGGCTCATTGCGAATTTAAGTTTGACATCGCATCAGGGGACTAAGAAGGGCAAGGGAAAGAAGAGTGACGACGTGGACGATGACAATGTTGGTGTTGCAAATGAGACGTATTTCATGCCTGGCACGTCCTGCCTTTCCTCACATTTCTGGGCTCGCTCACACTGGCTCTAGGTCCTGCAACTAATCTGGACATTCGGGCCACGCTGATAGAGGAACACAGTCCTCCAGAGATACTCGTTCACGGCCTTGTGGCGCCGGAAGATGTCGAGCGTTTGTTTGAAATGTGAGAATTCGTCAATATTTTCCACGTTTTGGGCCCTAATGTTCTATCCGAAGTTTCTACAAACATGTCAATGTGAGAAGAAAGTAGCAGTCCTTTCAATGCTCTTTGCTGATGGCATTTATTTTAGCCGTTCATATCCCTCCTTGACCCCGTTCTACACACTCCACAATCGACGTTCGCGAGATGCCCTTTCCTCTTCACCGTTATATGTGCAATTTCCTCCCGGTACCACCCTCCAAAGTCGAGTATTTATCCGATAGCGATGCATTTTGCCAAACATTCTGCTGCAAATGCCCTTATTGATGGATGGAAGAGCGTTGAGCTCTGTCAGGCGTATATATTGATGAGTATCTATGCCGTGCCTGCCAGACGATGGGAGGAAGATCGGAGTTGGTTGTATACGGGTCTGGCCATCCGGTACGTCGATCAATTCATTTAGTTTCTTTCCTTCTCTCATTGTCCCCAACAGTATCGCTACTGACCTCAACTTGCATCAATTGCCAACCACAAAACCCACGAATGAAAAGCAGGAACGCGAGATCCTTAACCGCATCCGTGTGTGGCAAATCTGCTTCAACCTCGACCGCTCGACAGCCACTCAGTTTGGAAAACCTTCAACCATCAAGGAGGATTCGATAATTCGTCATTCGGCGGACTGGTACAAAAAGTCCCCTTACAACCTCACCTACGATGTCCATATGTGCGGATATACTGCGCTCTTGCGCATCGTTGCGAGGTTCCATGATGAAGTTTTCGCCGAGGGCAGCGGTCTGAGTAGTCTGAAGAGGGTCGATTTCCGGGACGTAACGATAAGGTATGACCGGGAGTTGGAGGCGTTTAAGGAGGAATGGGAGGGGCGCGTCAGAGTCGTTGGTGGTGACCGTGGGGCTATGTTTCGATGCAGCCTATTGCCATTGTGAGCTTAGCGTCGTTTCTTCAAGCTAGAACTTGCACTGATGTCATTCTCTGCGCAGTTTAGTTGGCTATTCCCGACTGGTGATGTTCTCGTTTGGATTCCAGCAGGCATTCCATAGAGGCATACAAGCGGGGGATGATCTCTTCTTCAACAAGGTCCGTAGCCATTGGTTTCTTTCGCATCTAGTGCTCACAGACAATGTTGTAGTGTCTTGAATCCGCCAAGACGGTGATCAGATGCATGAATGAGGACCTGGCCCCAAGTGGGTTCATGCGCTACGCGCCAGATGGTCACTTTATCTTCGCGGCCTTCGCATCTGCATTCCTGCTCAAGGTACCTCCCATAGTTAGTCTTCCTCCCTTTGCGGTACTGATGCCAGAACAGCTCCTTCGACCCGAATTTTCTGCTCTCCTCAGCAAAACTGATGAAGACGAAATCTTTGATCTCATCGGAACTCTGATTCAGAAGCTCAGCTCATCCAGCATTGCAATCGACGACCGACATACGCCAAAGTTGTATGCTAGGTTCTTGGCCACATTGTTGGGCAAATATCGGCGTGATGGCCAGGGAGCGACTGTCGGGCGTTTACAGACCATTCCTCCACCGAGTAACATGGGCGGACCAGGTAACGGAACCAGCGGTATGGGCGGAGGCGGAGGTGAATACCAGCAGTTCTCGGTAGCGCAAGACCAAGGCGGTTACCATGTTGCGAGTTATCAGCCCACTCAGCAGCAACAACCACAGACCCCAATTTACAGGCCAGAGGCGACATATGCGGCTGGCGCTGGGCCGATTCAGTTTGGAAACGATCTTGAATATTATAGTTTCGAATATGGGAGCGGAAATGTCAACGGGAGCGGGACTATCGGGAGTCCAGGAGCCGGAGAGGTTGACATGCTCGCGTCGATTCAAGCCCTCAAGAATCCTGAGTGGTGGCAGGGAATGTTGATGCCTGGGTACGTTCCATTTCTGTCTGTCAGATCAGTGACAAGATTTGATAGTTCCTTTGCTGCAGGTTTACGTGGCCACAGGCAAATTCTCCTGGAAGTGGAGGATCTGCGAGTTCCACCCCACCAGCAACGTACAGTCATACTCATCACCAATACCCGTACGGTTACCAACCACAGCAGGTGATGGTCCCCATGCACTAACGGTAAATATTCTGGGAATAAAAACAGTTTGCTTGCGTAGATTTATCTGGTGACATTCAAATGTATTATGAGTCTTTGTTTTCTTGCTTCGTTGTATGATATGATACGCTCTGGATCCGTATATCGTCATTGTAATCTGATCTGTAATGAAAATGTCTTGCGTTACAGAATTTGAAGCTTGCGGATGTTTTATGCAGAAAAAATGAGCCCGACTCGGGGCTGTCAATAAAATGATTTTGGGTCCGGAATGAACCAGTCGGCAGGCAGGATTTACATCTCCATCCTGCCAGACACTCTTTTGCCTATCCAAGTAGTAACTAGCAATCGCATGTGAGAGTGTGTAACGTATCCGTCACCGAATCTATGGTACCGCGGAGAACATCGTTGGAAATCCGGGCGACGTTTATGACGGTTTCTCCACACTCTGTCACAGAAACGGTCTCGGAGGATGCGCGCATAGCGCTCCACATAAATCGAGGCAGGCCATCTTAACACGGCATGAACTGCGGACTGACGAGGATAAGGTCAGGAAGCTCGTCGAGGTCACTGCTGCGCCCAGACCAGAAGAAGAAGCCTGGAATCCCCCCCTTCAAAAAGGCGAAGAAAACGGCCCCGTTTTATCCAAGCCGCACAGGTGGGAAATGAGACGCGGCTCGAGGTCTGTTAGATCCCTCTTCAATGAGGGGAACAAGTTCCTCTCTTGCTTTTCGACAGTCACGCGGGATCCTGTTGAAACATTCGTCGTAGACCTTGGAGGCGACTTTTCCATAAGTTATGGAATCGTACCCGATATTGAGGAGTAGCCAAAATTCGCTTATCGTACGACGGGTGGAACGATTGAGCTTGAGAGCGAGGCTGTCAATATGGGCGACGAAGGACATTGTTGCTGGTGGTGGCGCGGCGGCGACATGTTCGAGCAAGTAAGGGACGCCATCTGAAAACAAGGTATCGGATTTAACGATGGCTGGTAGGAGGCAGCTGATGGATGGTAGGTCCTGCTGGTCGGCCATCGACATGTAAGCAAGCTCGTAGCTACGTAGTCACTTATAACCGAACGGGAATTTATACTATTTCAGACGGGCTGAAACTGTCTGAACTTATGAAGACAAGCCGTTCAATAGATATAGATATCAATGCGAGAGATTCCTATTAAATTTACATGCCCAATGGCAACGATACGGGGTCGACGAAAGCGACGAAAGGCGTTCCTGGCAGAGACATTCTACAGGTCGATTCGATCGCCAACACCTGCTCACGAATACCGATCAAATGACGAGCGGAGTTCTTTCGAGAGTTCTCGTCCTCATCCTTGGCTACCAAGCCAATGAGGAATTGAGGCTGCAAAATACACGCAACGCTGCTAGGCTATCCGCTAAAAATCGAAGTAAGCCTTGACTGCAAAACAGAGTAGGCAGGACCCGATCCACTCACCTCCGGATCTTACGTTCTCCTAGCTCCAAAACGGCCGTGTTAAAAGTGACGAGGAAGATCAGAACGGGGGCTTCTGATAAGGAGAGATATTTTAGGGAACAGATTTCTGGGGAGGCCAAAGATTCTGGATCGATTTTTGTGGCGAAGGTCAGCGAATAAAAGAATACCTTAAGGATCCACGGCACAATAGAAAGTCTCGGGCGCTATTGGGTCCGCTGGGGGTACGTATACAGAGCATCACGATTATGTAGAGCATGTAGTTTTCACCCCTGATAAAGTACATAACGAAACCTCGTTGACGGATGTACACCTTGTAAAAAAAAAATTATAGTCAGCTTTGTGCCGGTTATCAATGAAAAATACAAAACCGTCACGTCACCTCAGTTATAGACAGTACCGAGTCGAGTTTGTTCAGCTCCTCGATATTCAGGTCCACTCAGAAAAGCTCCACCTACGCAGTGGTGATGAGGAGCCGACCGATGCTTTTGTCATGAAACTGTTTGAAAAAACGTTTCTAGCGTCCTTTTGGTAAGACAGGATCATCATGCTCAGGCAGCGCGATATGGTCCAAAGTCGAGTTTTGACACGACGACAAACTCGCCGTTGCAGTCAAGGGTGCTCGCCAAATTCAATTTTGTACATGGGGTCGAAATTTTATTCTCAGGCATCGAAGGGGTACCAGCTCAACCACGTGATAGACAATGACGCACATCAATTTCATGACTAAGCCATATGGCCCTTTCCGGCAGTTTCATTGCAACTTCCCCTTCACATCGCGACCTCAACGCCTCTGAACTCGGCAGGCGTCGCACACCCAATTATTGGGCACTCGACTGCGGAAGCTGTTGGAGGGCGCTTCGGGACCAACCAAGAATTCATAAAATTTTGGCTTTTCTTGTTGCTGGCTTTGAGTTTTTTTTGCTGGTTGTGTTTTTAATCAGTGCGGAATCACAGGTTGCCGTTTTCCAATGGGTTTTGATCATATTCTGGATCCCAGCTGTTCCAAGATGCACTGTAGTACCACATCTTGGACAGAGGGCAGTATTCTTGACTGTATCTATGTGAATATTCTGGGAGACCATGAGAAAATCATTGAAACTTGAAGTTTATAAGTAAAGGTTACGTGAAAGTCAAACTCTTCATCCATGATTGTGTTGAAGACAAGTGGCAAGGCCTATTTCGGGTGGGAAAGTCGAACTTGAACCTAGTACCCTAATTTGGATGTCTGGTGTCTAAATTAATATTTGCTACTAATATTACATAATTTAATATAGATATGCTGTCATTCTATGGTCCAAATATACAACATTATAGCAAAAAATAGGGATTCTCATAAAGTTTTTTTCAGGCCTTCCAAGGCGAACCAACCACCCTACCGGCTGTGCCACGCTGACATTCCCGAGCACCCTTGGTTGCAGTTCCTTCAGTTGAACCAGCATATATGCGCCTATTCAGGCCTGAGGAGATGCAAAAGATGAGCCAGGATGACCATGAGGTAATCAACCAGTGCTGGCTTACTATCGAATATGTCGGTTCTGGTCAACAATCGTGCTCTTCAATTTCAGTGTATCCCCCATTTTTGACACAGAAGATCACGATTCTGGTATCTCTCTACCCCCCACTATGTCGCCGCGGCTGTCTGCATCCACGCTGTACAATCATCTCCAGTCCCAGACCCACCTTTGTGACACCGAGGCATCCAAGGGTGCCGTCCGTTTCTCCTCGCGAGCTCTCCCCAGTGCCGACTGTGTCAGCGGCTTCCCACCCCTTCCTAGCTCCCTATGCATGTCATAACCACCGCCGGCCTGTCACCCACCACTGCACTATGGATAATGCAATGTATTGTCGATAGGTGTGCCCAAGTCCACCATCGACACCTACGGGCCCCAACTCCACCCATCTGCAACAGTCTTGGTCATATTCGCAATGGTACGGTACATATCGTCCTAGAACTTTTTGGATGCCACTCGTTTTCACCTTGCGGCACGTTTCTGCAGAATAAAACTTCTTTCCTATCTCCATGAATGCATCATATATCTGGAAGTATGATTGAGTATAAGTTGAAATTCCTTGTGGAACATGGCCATAAGTTTGTATCGCTTTGTTGTATTCTCTTCTTTATATTCGGAAACAGGAAAATTAAGGATAAGAGTGTTGACATGGCCATTGACCAGATATCTTTCCTACGCTCTGAATGCTACACCATGCACCTAAAAGATGAAGAAGCCGAAAGAATATGGTGGTCATTATTCATGGAACGCTGTGTACGAAACCAAGAACGTGAACTGCTTTCTCGTATGATAGTATGACTACACGTCGTGTATCACGAATAGACTGCAGAGTGGACGGGAAACAATGACAAGGCAGCCGCCGAGGGTATCGAATCCAAAGGAAAGTACATACCGATATGAACGCCACGATTCGTCTTCACGACCCGGTAACTGGACCTGCCCGCTGAACAAGTGTGACACATATCGAGTTCCATACAGGTTTCCTTTTCACCGGTTTTGACTCGCTCTGGCGGTCGTCGTCGAAAGGCGACTTCTGGATGATGCCCGACAAGTCTATACACTCTGTCGAGAAGAAGAGCTTCAAGAAGCCAACATCAACATCTTGTCCCTTCCTTAGTGTGTACGTATGCGGAACAGTCCCACTCGTGCCGTACCCGATGGTCAACGATCCTCCAGGAGGGAGAGAAACATCAACGGCGCCGTCTCTTGCGCTTCCCGGTTGATAGTACGAATCTGAAAAGGCAGGTGATCTGGTCAGTCGAACGGGAAGTGAGGATCAGCAAGACAGCGCACCGATGCTCAAATCACTGACATCGAAATAGAACATCGAAACATAAAGAGGTACCAACATCGTATTGGTAATCTTGAATCCATACATCGCATCCTCACCGACATCGACGGAAATCACACCATCAATGTTCAGATTATCGCCATCGGGTTCCAAAATCTCTAGTAAGTCATTTGTGAACCTCCCGGTCTCTTTAAGCTTCATACACTCGAGCATGACGTTGCTGGCGAGGGGGCTCCCTTGGCTAGAACGGTGAAGGTTCCAGTAAAAATGAGCGAAACATTGAAGAATGCGGTGGATAGTGTCTGAATCATCGGTTTTGACTTTGAATGGCATGCGTGTTAGCCCATGCTGTTGACAGCGCTCATCCATGATCTCGAAATGGACAACATCACCATCCGCGCCAATGACCAGATCCGGCTTATCGTCGCGCCTCTCCACCAAATGGAATCGCCTCTTTGCTGCTTCGATGCTTTGCATCTCGTTGACTATCTGCCTAAAGACATCGAGGAATTTTATGTTAGGCTCGATGAAAAGGCGAATATCCTGTCCCTCGCCGACTCCATTCTGCAAGGCATATCCAGTACTATCAAGGGAGAATGGTGTTTCATCGCCGCGCGGAGCGAAATCGCACGTGGTGGTGAAAGCGGTGGTGCTTGAAGCAACGACAGTTCCAAGCTCAGATACCATCTTTCTATCAGCGAAAACAACGAACTCGGCCTTGCTTGTGATCCCGTGGGCCTCGCCAGCTTCCAAAACGTACTGGCCCGGCAAGTCAGAAGATGCGTGGATGGGGTATAGTTGTGGGCTGGCTACTTTGGAATTGAAAAGGTATCGTGATTGGTTGACACCTTCACATTGCGGATCTTGTGCCGATCTGTAACAAGAGGCAGATAAGCTTCAGCAGAGTAGGACAGCAAGCGGGCTTACGGCAGATTATCGGGTAATTCCAAGTCGGTTATTACGTCCTTGTAAGTAAGCTTGTCAATGCCCCTTTTCTTCAATAATTTTAACAGCGCCGTAGTAAAGACACCGGCTCCTTGACCTTTCTCTACGCCATTGACTGTCTCCCTGGCTGTTTGCCCCCGCTTACACGCTGAAAGGAGCATGTGTGACCGGAGACCGCTATTTTCGTATGTCTCTGGAACGACATTCCCCCGAGCATTTGGCTCAATGCCATTCAAAAGGCCTTGAGAGATAATGTAAGTCTTTGGGAGGTCGATCCCGCGTACGGCGAAGGTCGGATCATCGTTGACTGTTCGTGTGCCCGAAGCAGAGTGACAACAATCAAGGATGACGGTCTATCGATACACTTGATCAAATACTATGCATAATAGAAACAGGTGGAACCTTACGATGTTGTCTGACTTTTTCATAGCGAGGTCTGCGAGAAGATGACCGAGCTCCCTATCTAATAGACCTTGACCTTGCTCGAAGTCGGTCGACGCATTGGGGTTAAAGTCGTGTGGAACCAGCATTTGTATCATCCCGTTGTCGGTGGGCCATCCGGACGGGGCGTTCGCTTCGGCTCCATGCCCTGCATAGTAGATGAGAATCGGGTCCTCCTTCTTGATTGCTGAATTGTCCCCAAGCCTCTTAATCTCCGTCTCGATAGTAACTCTCGCGGCATCCTCGTTGCGAAGATTCTTGATTTGGTCTTTTGGAACGAAGAGAGTCTCTTGCAAAAATGTATTGACGGCATCAGCATCGGCAACTGCACCCTTCAGATCTCGGACCCCATTCGAAAGGTATTTGTCGATGCCAATAACCAGTGCGTATAGGGGCGGGGTACAGCTAACAATCCCATAATCAGTACACATATCCTAGGACGTGAAAATAAATACGAACTGTTCAATGTGAATACACTGGGGAGGACTGTGAAGCACAGAGTATGGTGTATTCACATGGATCACAGGATCGACATACGACTGAGGATACTGAGGAGAAGAAGCCTGTTCCTCTGCTGGACTACTGGAGACCTATAAATTCGTGCTTTAGTGAGTCATCTTTTGCGTACAGACACCTTACGTTGGAGGAGGCGAGGAACCGTAAAAGAAGAGGTTCAATTGGAAAGCTACTGACACTACCAGATACCATACCAAGTCCAACACAGAGCTGGCTGTGATGTCGAGCCGGTAAACAAACATGCCGATGAAAGACAGAGACGTAGGTAGGATGAGGAATGGCACTATACACGCCAATTGGACGGTAGGATAACAAAAAGCGCCACATTACAGATGTAGTACTAGCGCTCATTTCCCCTTCGCCTTTTCACTTTGCACGTACGTTCGCAATCTGATTATCTGAATAGCAGGGGCAAAGGGCGCTGTGAAAACATCCATCCATCCATTGACGCCTTCAATTCACCGACGTCAATGTGGTAGAAAAAATCGTGTTAGATGCGCTGCAAAGAGACCTTGCCCTTCATGTCGCTCCTGCTGTCGAAGGACGTGATTATGACCACTGCCGTAACGTGAATGCGATTTTTCATTCTTCGCTGTGTTGATTGTCATACCGGGAGCATTGGGTCTAAATTGAGATCCATGAGACGCTGTAATTCGGGATTGTGCGTACACAAATGGAGGTATTCGCCACATCGGTAATGATTCGGAGAAACCAAGGTATCCTTAGGAAACAAGGTGAGTTATCGACGTGAGCAAATCTATACCAATGGTGCCGGACGAAGTCGCAGGAGCCTGGAGGTGAGACACATGAAGATGCAGGTAGGCGCCGGGTTTTGATTTTCGAAAAATAGCTCTCATCGAAGTCGAGGGCAAGGGCGATGTGGTCGTGAGGATGGGCCAGATATACTATGATGCATCCTTGCTCGGAGATAGTTAATTCCTCTCCGAGACCCTCGTCCTTGGATAATTTGGGATTGACGGAAAGATCATCGAGCCGACTGACCAGGCCTACTCGGATGAAAGTTCTCGACTTCTGATTCAACGTGGGCCACTTCCTATCACTAACAAGCGCTTAAGCACAAGAAAGGGTAACAGAGATGATGTTACAACATACGAAGCAATTTCCTTGACCATTCCAAAGGGAACATAAAAGACTCTTTCACAGGTCACAATGAGAACTGCCAGTTGTTAGCCAAATATTGGAGCGGCATGTGCAATGTTTCAGTAGCAAAAGTTCCGGCATTTCGTATTAGACAAGAATAGTAGCTGATTACTGGCTGCGCTAAGGTTGGCGTCTGTGAAGCCTCGAGTAAACCACCCTGAAAGTTTTGACGTGAGGAATGAACGGCTGAAAAAACTTGTGATTGAATAGAAGGAAGGAAGAGATCATGTTTCCACTGCGTTTCCCAGATGTTTGTCTCCAAGGATGCCGGCAACCAATGTGGTCGTCTGGTGCTATTCTATTTTCACTTCGTTTAGCTTTTCCAAGTCGCGTCGTCGTCTCTTCACTTCCTTCTGTCACACCCACCCTGTTGTAAGTAGAGAGCGGAGTAATGTACAGAGGATTAGAATTAGCCTCTCGAGAGAGAGACGTTCTACTTAAATACATTTTGTATTGCTTCGAGATCTTTCTACGAGATACTAAATAAGTCCGGATCACGATCCAAGTCAGCTGCCGCTGACTGGCATCGTATCTTCGAGTATGTTCTCGTACTCGCTCGGGATTGCTATCCCAACACACCTACTCCTTTCTTTGGTTCTGTGGCGCCTGGTGTGACGCTACTAATATGGGCAGACGAGCAGCCTGCGGGGGTGAATACTAGCAATTCTCGGTACGGCAAGATTCAGGTGGTTATCATGGTGTGAGTTACTACGTTGCTTCCCAATGGCGAAAAAAAAGCCTAAGGAATCTGTGAGTGGTAAGATGACATTAACTGGAATTCAACCAAGAACATGGGCGGCCCCCAGCCGCTACACTATAATGCCAGTCCTCTTGTCGCGGATCAGTTTTAAAAACATCTTGCACGTGATCGGAACAAGCATCGATACTATATCATCTAGGGATTGGTCACAGGTCATAAAGGCAGCGAACCAGCAAACGTCAATTCTAAGCGCATATCATTGGGAGCCGATGTGCTTCAAAGGGGACGAGATGGACCTACGCACAAACCGAGTAGTTTTCACGCTCGTGTCTTACAGAGGCGGATCTGCAGAGAGAACCCTAGCTCAGGAACAAGATGAAAGCAAGGCAGAAAAAAAATGGTAATGCGAAAAGCTTGGGATGGCTCGCAATGATGCCGATTAACTGCGGTGTGGATCCATCATCCAATGGCGAGTAGACTGAACACTGACCTTTCCACGACTATGGGCAAGTTTCCATGTGTGACAAATCACATGGAGTTGAAGGCACTTACATTTCCAGAAGTACCAGTACTCATGCACTCCATCCCTTCGTAATATGATGTAAACCGAGACGAACTCATCGTACATCCCTCGCTATCGAAGGAAATTCAGCAGATAAGTATGAAGAAGAGTAAAAGTACGGACGTGCAGAAAGTACACAGCAGCTACAAGAAACAGCCTTAGACCAACGCTGTTAATCACGTACAAGAGGGATTGAAGGAGACACTCACTTGCAAAGGTTCCGTCTTCGGTTGTCGCTGCTAGCATCGGCCACCTCATATCTTGGCAATAGAGGCGACGTGTCGGTGACAGCACCGGCAGACAGACTGACTTCAGAACCTTGCGTCGACATTACAATGGTCACCTGAGATGGTAGTTTTAGAACAAGGCTGTGCGTCGAACTAGAGCATCACAGGCCGCGACTATCCGATTACCAAGGAAAGTGCAAATGTAGTAGAATTACGGCATGAAATGGGCAGATTCGTATTGAAGCAGCTGTACAGCAACGGCAGGGGGCTCGTGGTCAACCTCCGAATCGACGCTTTCAGCATGGACTGCGACTCCAGCGTCAGTTCTCCCAAAATGAAATTCTAAAATTAGCATTGCAGCAAATGAGCCGTAGGGATGTATATCCATTTGATATTTTTCGAGATTGGAGATGGTTCTCCATTCAGCACTTCTGGCGATCGTGAAAGTGTGCGTTGGATCGACGACAGGGAGGAGAGAGCAAACGAAAGAGAGCAGTAAAGTGATACACATACATCGAAAGATCTCACAGATTCTTTCGAAGGTTTTCCTCGAGCGTCAAAGGACATTGAAAGATCTGAACCCGATATGTCAGATACCGACTCGGATACGCGTCGATTTCGGGCCGCAATCAGTCGACGGCCCCGAGTCGGGTGGCAGTGTAAGACCCATGCTAGGCGACCTTGAAGCTCTTCAGAGAAGATGAGAGCAAACTAAGAAGGTGTCAGTGTACGGTTAAACTGGTGACACAAGTCAAGGGGTGCTGCGGTGTATACAAAGGATCATAGATAAGCAAGCAATAAGCACTTGTTAGCTGGCACGAGACAAAAAGCAATAGACTGAAGCAGAGAGATAGACCATCATATCATTTCAAGTGAAAGCCGACGAATCTTCCATCGAGTAAAGTTGGAGGAGAGACAGCATTGTGGTGGCTGTGCAGCATCAGTGCTGAAAAGTAACAGAGACAAATAGGACCTTTGGCTACCGACATTGACGCGCCGATTGACTTTGCCCGGTATAGTTCTTGCAGTTGAGCATAAATCCTTCAAATTATATTCCCGCTCGAGAATCGAGAGAACGTTTGAACTTTCAAGTTCCAACTACTAGATTCAGAGCCTCCGCTTGTCCTCGGAACGTATTTATGCTGAAGCAAGATTCTTTAAAGCAAAACGTCGTAGAGAAGAGATGGAACGTTTGTAAGTGTATGCATACAACCCTGATCCATAACGATTTGGCCTGTGCATCTCGTCCGCGGAGAAAAGACGTCTTTAGTGCTAGACATGTCCAGTGTATGGACATGAGGACATCTGGCTATGAAATGTTTTATGGTGCGCTTATAACAAGTACCATGGTTGCCGGTATGCATGCCAATCTTGACATAGTTTTTCAGGGATTTTGCATTTGCGTCGGTCTTCCCCAGGATTAGATATTGAACGCTGCGATAGCATTCTCTCTTTGGAGCACCTCGAGGAGCGATCATGGTCACACGTATAGCGGGCAAGGATTTCCTCATTTGGGCATCACCGCTAACGTGCGAGTCGGACGCGGATGTAACCGCATTGAGACAAACATCAGCAAGATCGACCAATGCTACGCGGTCGATCACTGGCGTCGACCATCAATCTGAGATGCAGACGGTCCTCGATCAAATTTCATTGACAAGGAGCCGTTGTCCCTCGTTCCTGCGCTGCTGCCAGTGTTTCGTTTACGATGGTCATACGAGAGGATGCACCAGCGTCCGACTGGTATATAGGTACGGGCGTGAAGATGGGAGGAGACCAGGTTCTCCGCATCGTACAGTCTTCTACCACCATTACTACTATCTCTTCCTCCAATGGCTCTCTCTACTGCTATCTGTTCGCAGTCTTTCGCCTCCTTGGTTTCCAAGAAGGGTCTGAGGGAGACGATCATTTCGGGTTTCTCCTCGATCTCTTCGAACGTCAAAACCCTCATCGCACCACCGACTCGGACTGAGATCGGTGCCTGCTGGGAGCTCTACCGTCTCCAGAATGGGATCGGATGTGCAACGGTGTTTCTTCCAGTGGGTGAGTGTGGATTTCTGTGAACTTCCGTTTCCGTTCGCTAACCGGGAATGATAGCATGGTGTTTAGCGATGGTGTACCACGCTTACCCTCATCCGACGGGACTGGAATGCCTTATCCGGGCCGTCGTCTACTTTTTCCTTTGCATCGGGATCAAATGCTTGGTGAGTCTAGATATTCGAAGCCGTCTTCGCTATCTCATCCTTGATCTCAGATCATGACCATTGACGACATCCTCGACTATGATATCGACGTGAACGTGGAGCGTACGAAGAATCGGGCACTTCCTAGAGGTGCTATCAGCATTGAGCGTGCCTGGTTGTTCTTCGCTCTCCAAGTCGTGATTGGTGTCTTTTTGGCTTTCAAGGTCCTAAGTCCTGGAGCGTAAATGTTTCCTCTCTGATACAATTTTTCTATGCTTACCATGCTCGTCTATTCAGTCTGCGTATTTCCATGTACGTGTGGCCGTTGTACGTGCTGTACCCCACATGCAAGCGCTGGATGTACTTTGCGCCCATTCCTTTGGTAAGTACCTTTGTGATTCATGCAGAAATCAGCGATCTGACGTTCCCTTAGGGCTTGATGTTCAACATCGGTATCTACATGGGCTGGGCAGACCTTGCGCCTGACGCCAAAATTTCCTACCACGCCCTCACTGCTGCATACCTCGGTGCGACGATGTGGACGATCACATACGAGACGGTGTATCAGCACCAGGACAAGGTGGATGATGTCAAGATTGGAATCAAGTCGCTCGCGATATGGTGCGGCAAATACACGATCCCCATCTGCTCCGCTACTACTGTCAGCTTCACAGTGTTGATGTCATTGGCTGGTGTCCTCAACGAGCAGCGGATTGCCTACTATGTTTCCGTGGCGGTTTCCACGTCCATTCTTCTGAAGGAACTCGTCGTGACGGATGTTGACAAGCCGAGGTAGTGTATGAAGTTTTTCTTGCACACGCCGACGATTGGGAATCTGATACTTGCTGGATTAGTTGTTGATGCTGTTGTTCGCCGGGTCATTGAAGGAATTCCTCTTTAGCGCACCACATACGACTGTACTGTTAACTTAACAATATTTATTCGCTCCCAGTATTTCCTTATCAAAATGACGGACCATCATTTACACTAGCGACATAAATCAGTCTCCGCATGGAGTTGTAGATCACGCTTGCCGACTCGGATAATTCGTGTTGCAAATCTTCAACGGCCCCGCGCGATTCAGTTATTACCGCTCATGTTAACTACTAGTATTAAGTATCTCAACCCTATACCAACTTTACCAGGACTTTTGCATACAGAACACAGTCATATTGTGTTTTTGTTGAATTATTTAATGCGTTTATGTACTGCAATCATAGTTGGTGGCTATGCAAGTAAAGATACCATCCATCACCTGCCTCGTATTATCAACGATATATCAACTCCCATTAAATCTCATGCATCCTTTTCAGAGAATGTCACCTACTTGGTCGAACATGTCCCACAGTCGTCCCTATTCACTACCTTGCAATCCAGGATCCAAGTCAATCGTTCCACCTATCATGCGATGAGCGTATTTTGTCTTCTTAGAATTGGGTGTGATTTCATAACTCGCCATGGAAGAGTCGCTTCCAATTCTATGATGAATGTTTCGATACGGTCGCGGGTGACTGCCACAGGGAAAGAGAGGAACTTTTTCCCCTTGTGGAAGCCAATCTAACTGACCTTGAGAGCCGCGTCTGATTTCCCACCTGCGTGACTTGGATAAAATAGACTGTTTTCTTTGATTTATGAAGCAATTCCAGGCATCTGGTTTGGACGCAGTGATCTCGATGATCTTCCTGACCTTATCTCGTCAGTCCGCAGTTCATGCTGCATTATGATGACCTGCCTCGATTGTGTCGAGCGCTATGCGCGCATTCTCCGAGACCATCTCTGTGACAGAGTTTGGATAACCGTCGTTTCCAAACTGAATTAGCCCAAGCGGGGTCAGCCTGGAACATGTGTGAATCATTGCTCTGACCGCCCTAAGATCGCGCGCAAACTGGGACTCGACCAACTTCATTCTAGGCATCTGTCTCTAAACAGATGTTGGTCGGCATCATTGCAAGCCATCCCAAGCTTTTCGCATTACCATTTTTTTTCTGCCTTGCTTTCATCTTGTTCCTGAGCTAGGGTTCTCTCTGCAGATCCGCCTCTGTAAGACACGAGCGTGAAAACTACTCGGTTTGTGCGTAGGTCCATCTCGTCCCCTTTGAAGCACATCGGCTCCCAATGATATGCGCTTAGAATTGACGTTTGCTGGTTCGCTGCCTTTATGACCTGTGACCAATCCCTAGATGATATAGTATCGATGCTTGTTCCGATCACGTGCAAGATGTTTTTAAAACTGATCCGCGACAAGAGGACTGGCATTATAGTGTAGCGGCTGGGGGCCGCCCATGTTCTTGGTTGAATTCCAGTTAATGTCATCTTACCACTCACAGATTCCTTAGGCTTTTTTTTCGCCATTGGGAAGCAACGTAGTAACTCACACCATGATAACCACCTGAATCTTGCCGTACCGAGAATTGCTAGTATTCACCCCCGCAGGCTGCTCGTCTGCCCATATTAGTAGCGTCACACCAGGCGCCACAGAACCAAAGAAAGGAGTAGGTGTGTTGGGATAGCAATCCCGAGCGAGTACGAGAACATACTCGAAGATACGATGCCAGTCAGCGGCAGCTGACTTGGATCGTGATCCGGACTTATTTAGTATCTCGTAGAAAGATCTCGAAGCAATACAAAATGTATTTAAGTAGAACGTCTCTCTCTCGAGAGGCTAATTCTAATCCTCTGTACATTACTCCGCTCTCTACTTACAACAGGGTGGGTGTGACAGAAGGAAGTGAAGAGACGACGACGCGACTTGGAAAAGCTAAACGAAGTGAAAATAGAATAGCACCAGACGACCACATTGGTTGCCGGCATCCTTGGAGACAAACATCTGGGAAACGCAGTGGAAACATGATCTCTTCCTTCCTTCTATTCAATCACAAGTTTTTTCAGCCGTTCATTCCTCACGTCAAAACTTTCAGGGTGGTTTACTCGAGGCTTCACAGACGCCAACCTTAGCGCAGCCAGTAATCAGCTACTATTCTTGTCTAATACGAAATGCCGGAACTTTTGCTACTGAAACATTGCACATGCCGCTCCAATATTTGGCTAACAACTGGCAGTTCTCATTGTGACCTGTGAAAGAGTCTTTTATGTTCCCTTTGGAATGGTCAAGGAAATTGCTTCGTATGTTGTAACATCATCTCTGTTACCCTTTCTTGTGCTTAAGCGCTTGTTAGTGATAGGAAGTGGCCCACGTTGAATCAGAAGTCGAGAACTTTCATCCGAGTAGGCCTGGTCAGTCGGCTCGATGATCTTTCCGTCAATCCCAAATTATCCAAGGACGAGGGTCTCGGAGAGGAATTAACTATCTCCGAGCAAGGATGCATCATAGTATATCTGGCCCATCCTCACGACCACATCGCCCTTGCCCTCGACTTCGATGAGAGCTATTTTTCGAAAATCAAAACCCGGCGCCTACCTGCATCTTCATGTGTCTCACCTCCAGGCTCCTGCGACTTCGTCCGGCACCATTGGTATAGATTTGCTCACGTCGATAACTCACCTTGTTTCCTAAGGATACCTTGGTTTCTCCGAATCATTACCGATGTGGCGAATACCTCCATTTGTGTACGCACAATCCCGAATTACAGCGTCTCATGGATCTCAATTTAGACCCAATGCTCCCGGTATGACAATCAACACAGCGAAGAATGAAAAATCGCATTCACGTTACGGCAGTGGTCATAATCACGTCCTTCGACAGCAGGAGCGACATGAAGGGCAAGGTCTCTTTGCAGCGCATCTAACACGATTTTTTCTACCACATTGACGTCGGTGAATTGAAGGCGTCAATGGATGGATGGATGTTTTCACAGCGCCCTTTGCCCCTGCTATTCAGATAATCAGATTGCGAACGTACGTGCAAAGTGAAAAGGCGAAGGGGAAATGAGCGCTAGTACTACATCTGTAATGTGGCGCTTTTTGTTATCCTACCGTCCAATTGGCGTGTATAGTGCCATTCCTCATCCTACCTACGTCTCTGTCTTTCATCGGCATGTTTGTTTACCGGCTCGACATCACAGCCAGCTCTGTGTTGGACTTGGTATGGTATCTGGTAGTGTCAGTAGCTTTCCAATTGAACCTCTTCTTTTACGGTTCCTCGCCTCCTCCAACGTAAGGTGTCTGTACGCAAAAGATGACTCACTAAAGCACGAATTTATAGGTCTCCAGTAGTCCAGCAGAGGAACAGGCTTCTTCTCCTCAGTATCCTCAGTCGTATGTCGATCCTGTGATCCATGTGAATACACCATACTCTGTGCTTCACAGTCCTCCCCAGTGTATTCACATTGAACAGTTCGTATTTATTTTCACGTCCTAGGATATGTGTACTGATTATGGGATTGTTAGCTGTACCCCGCCCCTATACGCACTGGTTATTGGCATCGACAAATACCTTTCGAACGGGATCCGAGATCTGAAGGGTGCAGTTGCCGATGCTGACGCAGTCAATACATTTTTGCAAGAGACTCTCCTCGTTCCAAAAGACCAAATCAAGAATCTTCGCAACGAGGATGCCACGAGAGTTACTATCGAGACAGAGATTAAGAGGCTTGGGGATAATTCAGCAATCAAGAAGGAGGACCCGATTCTCATCTACTATGCAGGGCACGGAGCCGAAGCGGATGCGCCGTCTGGATGGCCCAGCACCAACAAGAAAATACAAATGCTTCTTCCTTACGACTTTGACCCCAACGGGTCGACCGACTCCGAGCGAGGTCAAGGTCTATTGGATACGAAGCTCTCTCATCTTCTCGCAGACCTCGCTATGAAAAAGTCAGATAACATTGTAAGATTTCTTTTTTTTCCTGTCACGTATGGTAACTGATTAGGTGCACCGACAGACTGTTATTCTTGATTGTTGTCACTCTGCTTCGGGCACGCGAACAGTCAACCATGATCCGACCTTCGCCGTACGGGGGATCGAGCTCCCAGAGACTTATACTATCCCTCGAGGCCTCTTCCATCATGACATTTCGCATTACAAGTCTCGGTCGAGTTCCACTGCACAGGGATTCGAGAGGACAGGTCTATCATCACACATGCTCCTTTCAGCATGTAAGCAGGGGCAAGAAGCCAGAGAGGCAGATGGACATGGCGCCTTTACTTCAGCGTTGTTGAGTTTGCTGAAGAAAAGCGGCGTCGACAAGCTTACTTACAAAGACGTAATAACCCATCTACCCGATCTTCCCGCGTAGGCCTACTTTTGTGTGCTAGTCTGCTAACGCTTATTCGTCTCTTCCAGACAGAATCCGCAGTGCGAAGGTGTCAACCAATTCCGACGCCTTTTCAATTCCAAAGTAGCCAGCCCGCAACACAAACTATATGACATCCGCGTATCCCACTGCGGCCGGTACGTTTTGAAAGCTGGCTCGGTCCATGGGATCACAAAGAACGCCGAGTTCGCCGTGTTCGCTGACAGAAACATGGTATCTGAGCTTGGAACTATCGTTGCTTCAAGGATCACCGCTTTCACCACCACATGCGATTTCCACCCCCGGGGCAATGAAACTCCCTTCTTCCTAGCTCATCCAGGATTTGCCTTGCAGACTCGAGTCGGCGAGGGACATGATGTTCGCCTTTTCATAGAGCCGGTCCGAAAGTTATTCAGTGTCTTGAAGCAGATAGGCGAGGAGATGCAAAATGGCGAAGCACGACAGAGGAGATTGCATTTGGTGGAGAGCCGAAACGATCATCCCGATCTAGCGGTTTCTGCGCATGGTGATGTTGTCCATTTCGAGATCATGGACAAGCTCTGTCGACAACATGGGCTAACACGCATGCCATTCAAAGTCAAAATCGATGATCCAGACACTATCCACCGCATTCTTCAACGCTCTGCTCATTTTTACTGGCACCTTCACCAGTCTAGCCAAGGAAGTCCCCTCGCCGGAAAGGTCACACTCGAGTGTATGAAGTTGCAAGAAACCAGAGACTTCATCCGCGGCTCCGACAAGGTTTTGATGCCTGACCCCCATGGCCATAATTTGAACATCGGAGGTGTGATTGTAGTCAATGTCGATGAGAAAGCAATGTATGGATTCAAGATCACCAATACCACATCGGTCTGTCTTTATGTTTCGATGTTCTATTTTGATGTCAGTGATTTGAAAATCGGTACGTTGTCCTACTGATCCTCACTGCGCGCCCGACTAACCAGATCATTTGCCTTTTCAGTTCCGTACTATCAACCGGGAAGTGCAAAAGACGGCGCCGTTGATGTTTCTCTTCCTCCTGGAGAATCGTCGACCATCGGCTACGGCGCGAGTGGGACGGTTCCGCATACGTACACACTAAAGAAGGGACAAGATGTTGATGTTGGCTTCTTGAAGCTCTTCTTCTCAACGGAGTACAAGGACTTGTCGGGCATTACCCAAAGCTCGCCTTTCGGTGACAGTCGCAAGAGCGATCCAGTTCCGGAGAAGAAGAGGTATGTAGGGGACACAATGTGTATTGCAGTTGTCCAGAAACATGGAGAGGGTCCCTCACGATGCCGGGACAGGGGTTGGGATCATCATCACCATCATCATCATCATCATTTTACATAGCCTGGTCTGCTGTAGAAACGGCCGTGGCATACAAGTACAATTTCCGGGGTGCGACAATCAACGGTGATGCTCGCGTAGGTTATTTCTATTGCTTTAGATTTTTCAGTGTTTGATACTACTGAGTCTACATGCACCATGGCCAGGTAGTCATGCTATCGTTACAACTGTTATGAACAAATAGACGAGTATAGTTCGTATTCTTAGTTTCGTACATAGCCTTCCACGAGCTTACTTTCTAGCCTTCATGATCAATGATCATAATGATCGATCTTCCAGCTTAGCTTCCTCATTGTTTAGCTTGGTTATATAGAATCAGAGTGTGAAGATATATGCAAGGTGAAAGGCCAATGGCACTCTTCTACCATACATTTGTTGGAGGATATCCATATGTTTCATCTTATCTTACTTTTCAATCACTTGTTCTATTTACCTTATATATACTTACACCTCCTGTTGTTTCCTGATCACCTATATAGTCCAGCCGTTCCTACCTGTATGCCTCAGTCACTTCACCCATGTTGTGCCCAACTGAGATACTCATATACATTCTTCTGTCAATAGGTTATGAGGCCCCATTGCCTATAACTACTCAGTCAAGAAGAATACACAATGGAATTTCAACTCAACTTACCACTTGAATTTATCCCATACCACTACTCTCACCACTTTACACCACACCCCTAAATGATGTCATCAATGTCAGAAGTCACTATTCTCTCTGACACAAGTAGCTATTTCAATGAGAAGAACTACACCTCATAGAAACTCCAACTTACTGAGTTACTGAAGGAAGAAGACCTATGGGGATACATTGTAGAAACTACTGTCTGTCCTGCCATCCCTGCCACCACTACCACAGCTATGGCTACTACCACACCTCTCCCACCAGACCCTACTCCCATATACTCACCCTCTCCCTCATATGATGAGTGGGTTTTTCATGACCAGCTCACTCACTTGAACATTGTCCTCAACATTCTCAACCCCATTGGTCTAAAAGTCAAGATTGATGAAATGGCAAAGAAATGCTGAGACTCTATTGCTGTGGAACATGCAAAGAAAACAGATATGGCCCTTTCCAAGGCTGAGATATCACTGAATGCAGTGAAGTTTGACAGGAACAGTGACATCAATATTCATGTCACTGATTTGCACACAAAATGATGAGCTGTAAATGATCTTTGAACTACAGCATTGAGTGATCAAGAGTTTAAGAGAATAATTATTCACTCAATAATCCTGACTGATCACTGGATGCCTATTCTCCCAAGTTTATATGGCATGTCAACATCCTCTGATGTGATTTTCCACCTCCAAACTCATGCCATCATGCTTCATGCAGTGGATAAAGGTCCTGCCAACTCTCAAGCACTTGTGGCTGGAGTCAGAATCTCTGTCATGGTATGCAGATGGCACAACTCAGATTGCAAGGTCTGTGATAAGACTAGGCACACCACTGAGAATTATTATTGTCCAGGAGGGGGAAAAGAGGGTCAATTCCCTGCCAACTTTGGCTGACCTCACCATGCAAACCAGGCAATCTCAAACACCACAGCTGATACTATGAGGAATTTTGTACTTGCTGTACATGCTATTACAGTGGAAGTCAATTGTAATGATAATAGCATTGTAATTGAGGATAGCAGCACTAGCAAGAGGATATACAAGTGGAATGGTACCTGTTCCTTCTGATGCTGGGATAAAACAGAGAGCAGCACTATGTTAATGTTAAAGATTAAAGAAGAGACAGATCTCAAAATGCCTCCTCTCACTGATGTTGATGACTCTGATGATGAAGACATTGCTGAAGATAATAAGATACCTTCTGTTGAGAGTATAGACACCAGCAAGGCCAACATTGAGGATGTAGAACACTTTACATGCAAGGCTGATCCTGCTACAACAGCCTTCATCACAACTACATTTAAGAGCCATACTCCAGCCATCACTCTAACCTTCATGGATTCTGATGTAAGCAACTACTTCTTCAGGAATCATAATGACTTCACAGAGTACATGCCAGTAGCCCTCTATATTAGCTTATCTGCAGTTGAGAGAAAGGAAACATTTGAGATCTTGGGCTAGAGCATAGCAACAAAGGTCTTCAGACTGAATAAAAGAGATGTTAAGCTCATCTTTAAAAATGCCTTGCATTCACCTTCACTCACTGTGAATCTCATCTCTGTAAGCACCTTAGACAAGGCTGAGTTGTTGACTGTTCTCTGATGGCTGTGCAGTTGTTCAGGATAAGTCTGATAAAGAGATTTTTGCTGAGCAAGGCTCAGATGACATATATGTGCTAGATACTGCATTCAGCCTCTAAGCTATGGCATCCTGCTCATCTCCCACTTTGCTGAGTATCTGGCATCATTGTTTTGTTCACATGAGCTCTGTAAAAATCAAGGAGATAACATTAAAGAAGCTGGTGGATGGCTTGAAAATTACCTCAAAGCCTATCCAGAGACACTGTGTGTTATGATTTTATCTTTATTCTATTTTTTTTCTACCATTAATCCCTATCTATGCTTAGTCAAAGTGCCTAGACAAGCACTCAAGACTATGAGACCAAGCTTAGTCATCACAACTAGGCCAAGTCCATCATTGTCTTTCAATGCAACAGCATTGCTTAATAATACACAATCAGTCTTTTATGTGCAGTAGTGATGCCCAAAGACAAAGAGCACAAAAGATATGACAACACACAATAGGTAGCTATATTATTAGTTATAACTTGTACAGTATTTAAGGAGACTCACTCTGTTGTAAGTAGAGAGCAGAGTAATGTACAGAGAACTAGAATTAGCCTCTCAAGAGAGAAATGTTCTACTTAAATACATTTCGTATTACTTCGAGATCTTTCTATGGAATACTAAATAAGTCCAGATCACAATTCAAGTCAGCTGCTGCTGACTAGCATCATATCTTTGAGTACATTCTCATACTCACTTGGAATTGCTATCCCAACACTCCTCCTCAATTCTGAGTTCCTAGAATACCTGCAGATAGATACTCATGTAATGGTCTTGGTAGGCCTTTAGTGAATATATCTGCTAAGTTTTCCTCTGATGCACAGTGCTGAACTTTAACTTTGTTTGAAGCCATGTGCTCATGAATGAAGTGGTGCCATATATTTATATGCTTCGATCATGCATAGAATATAGGGTTCTTGGTGAATTTGATTGCTGATTGATTGTTGATGAAAATAGTCATCGCTTCATAAGGTGGTAATCCTAATTCAGTTAAGAGTGCTCATAGCCAAATTACTTTCCAGATCGTGTGTGCAAGGGCCATATATTCTGCTTCCATAGTGGATAAGACTATAGTGGGCTGTTTTTTTGAACTCCAAGTAATAGCTCCCCCTGCATAGGTACAGACATAACCAGATGTTGATCTTCTATCTGTTCTGTCTTCTCCCCAGTCTGAGTCTGAATAAGGTATCAGCTCATCCATAGTCTCTCCATATGTGATTCCAAAGTCTAGAGTTCCCTTCAGATAGTGAAAAACTCACTTCAAGGCTGTGATATGCTCAGCAGCCAGATTCTGCATGTACTTGCTTAATTTAGTGACAGTATGTGCAATGTCAGGCTGGGATCCATTGGCCACATACATTAGTGATCCAACACCAGTATAGTAATATTGCCTGGTGGCTGTGTCAATGCCTCATGGGTCTTCTGTTGGAATTTTCTCTAGTCATACATTTGGGTCCATAAGCATTTTAACTGGTTTGCAGTCATTCATGCCCATTTGCTCAAGTACTTTGAGAATATATGCCTTCTGGGATAGAGTGATAGTGCTCTTGTCCCTATTTCTGTCTATCTTCATGCCTAATATATATTGAATCTCCCCCATGTCTGTGACATTTAGCTTCTTCTTAAGCTCTTCTTTTATTTTAGACATGATTTCATCATCTGGGGCAAGCAGTGTCATGTTATTGACATATACAGCTATGATTATAGGACCAGAACTCATTTGTCTGATGTACACACATTGATCACTGATCAATCTGATGTATCCAAGTCCCAAAAATGTAGCATTTAATTTGTCATTCTAAACTCAGCCAGATTGCTTGAGTCTATACAATGTTAATTTGAGGTGTGCCACTTTTTCACTCTCATCATTTAAGTAAGCTCCAACAACATCCATTCCATGAATGATTAGGTTTCTTTGAGTGGCAATTGCCATGAGTAGGCAGAATGTGTCCAGCCTGACAATGAGTGCATATATCTCAAAGAAATCAATGCCAGGTACCTGTGAAAATTCTTTTGCAACAAGTCTGGCCTTATACCTAGTGATTTTCCTATCACCATCTCTTTTCAATCTGTAAGTCCACTTGCAATCCACAAGTGATCTGTCTTTGGGTAATTCTTTCAGCTGCTATATGCCTAGAGAAGTCAATAGACTGTATTCTTTATTCATTGCTTTCTTCTAATGATGCCAGTCTGGCCTTGTTTTGGCTTCTTCAAGACTTAATGGCTCATCACTGAGGTTGTCTGCAGTTTTCCTAATGCATGCATAGTCTATTGCAACATTTATGGCTTCCAGAGATGATTCTTCTGAGGTACACTGTTGTTCCAATGTTTTCACAGCTCATACACTTAGATTATGAAGTGTTCAGTAACTCGGTTGGGTCTTTGATGTGATCTAGGCTGATTTGTCATGTGGCTTGATCACTTTCCCACATCATATTGGGAAATTTGATTTGATCGATGACATATCAGAGGCTATTTCCTCTTTTGGTTCAGTATTTCCAGCATCCATGGAATCGTCCAAAATGCCATCATTTCTATCTGGAGTCTGCTTGACTTTGCTTCCTGACTCTTTCTTGAGTGACAAAGGGTGGGAGACTATATAGTCAGTGTCTATAGACTCTGTAGTGTTGCTTTCAGGGAATATAACATTTCTTGAGATCTGAATCTGCCTGGTTTGAGGGTTATAATATCTCCAGGCCCTGGATTTATCTGTAAGATCTGTGAAAATGAATTCCCTTGACTTTGGGTCTA